ATGGAGCTACTTAAACTGAAGAGGGAAGCAGCTACAGCTGAAGTAGCGAAGAAAGCCTTGCCCCCTAAGGTGAGCAGGAAGGCCCAGCCGGACCTGCCATACTCCACTGCAAGTGGCGGAGCCCCGCCCCAATCAGAAGAGCCTACTCAACCCCACCAACAGCGCCATCCCCACCACCAGACTACCTCCATGGGTGCCGCAGAGGGACTTGCGCTTCAGGACAGGACGAGATACCGTATGTGCTACTAAAGATGCTCCCAAGGAAGGGTAAAGCCTTCCTCCTGAACATCTTCAACTCATGCCTGCGAATCTCGTACTTTCCCACAGCCTGGAAACAAGCAATCGTAGTACCCCTACTAAAGCCGGGGAAGAAAGGAGACGCGGCTGAGCACTATCGCCCAATCAGCCTCCTCTCGCACATCAGCAAGATCTTCGAGCGCTTGATTCACTACCATCTCATAAAACACTGTAGGGAGAAGAACATTATACCACCAGAGCAGACAGGTTTCCAACAAGGTGTCGCCTGCGAACACCACCTGGCGAAACTTCAGGCACACACCATAGAGCAGATGAATCACAACAGAGCTACGGCACTCATCTCACTGGACTGCAGTCAGGCCTTTGACTGCGTGTCTCACGCGCTGTTACTCCGACGGCTGGAAGAGTACAAGTTCCCAGCCCCTCTATGCCGACTGATCAGAAGCTATCTTAGCGGAAGATCTCTCGTCGTACGAGTTGGTGACGACTACTCTAACCCAGTCGATACCACCTGTGGAGTACCTCAAGGGTCTGTGTTGGGACCAATACTGTTCGTCGTTTTTACGGCGCCAGTAGTGGCACTCAAACACCCAAACGCAGTGGTAGCAGCCTATGCTGACGATATCGGGATCTATGCATCGAGCACTAATGCAAAGAGAGCCCTCAAGCATGCAGAAAAAGCCACAGAAGCCATCGTCGGAGAGCTAGAGAAAAATGGCATCAGAGTGAACCCCATGAAGACTGACGCTATCGTGATGTCGTTCCAGCAAGGGAAAAAGCCACTACCCACTCACTTCACCATCGGTAGTGTGGACCAGCGGATCTCCAACTCAGTAGTCTATCTCGGCGTGACATTGGATAGACACCTAACATTCTCCAGTCATGTCAAACAAAGACTCAAGCTGGCAAAACAAAAGTCACATAGGCTCTACCACCTGCTGAAGTCGCCGCAGCTCTCGCTGAGACTAAAACTGCAGATATACAAGGCTGTCATCAGACCTACGCTGCTCTATGGTGCACCGCTTCTCCGACACCTTGACCGGACAACACTCCAGAGACTGCAGGGATTCCAAAACTCCGTCCTTCGGCGAATAGTCAGAGGTACCCATCTTCAGCGATCCAGGAACAGAGACATCTACCAGGAGCTCCAACTACCCTCGGTCCCGGAATTCATTGGCCGGAGGCACATCAAATTTTTTGATGGGCTTAAGGCTTGTGCAAATCCATTATTCCAAGAAATCGCCCCACCGCCCAGGCCTGGAAGGTGGCAAGGCAAAGTCCCCCTGGTAGATGTCTTTGACGAAGGAGGGGGTCTGGACGCGGCAGTCTGAACCCTCACATTTGTACATAGTGTATATATATAATTGTAAATATGTAAATATATCCTCATCCCTATCCTTTATGAAAAAAGCAGGGCGGTCCCTCCACGCCCGGTGATGAAATTAAGGCCTAAGGCCACAGAAAGTATCCTATGCTTACGGCATAAACTGTCATTTACCTTAAAATACCCTTGGGTAAGCAAAGGTCAAGCAATAATGTATATATACATTCATAGATGGATGTTGTAAGTAGTGTTAAATAAAGTTTCTGGGGGGTCAGGAAAAAAAAAAAAAAAAAAAAAAAAAAAAAAAAAAAAAAAAAAAAAAAAAAAAAAAAAGGGACTTGCGCCAGTACCAGCCCAGCCTCCAAGGACTTCAGAAGCAACATTAGCCTCACTGGTAGAGAAGTTGTTGGACAGAATGGACACCATGCTCCATTTCATAACGACACTCCTGCAGACTGTGATGCCGAAGCCGACCCATGGTTGATCACCATGTGATCAACTATAACATCAGAGGCCTCGCTCAGAAACAGGCCGAAGTCGAGCTTCTCCTCCAGCAGCATAGGCCTACAGTGGTGGCGCTGACTGATACTATGCTTCACACCTCGACTCGTCTGTACTTTCAGGGGTACACTGTGTACCGACAGGTGTGCGCACCAGGGTCATGTGAGGGCGTAGCCATCCTCGTCAGAAGAGATGTACCGTCGAGAGCTGTTCAGAACCCAGTGGATCCAACCGAGGGAACTCACTTAGTCACAGTTGACGTGAGACTTAAGAGTCGATTCACGTTCACCTGTGTCTATAGGAGACCTAGGGCCATACATACATCTGCAAAGTTACTGCTACAACACGCCCAGGCGACGTGTCGGCATATAGTCCTCGGGGACTTCAATGCTCGACACTCTTCTTGGCTGTGTGGTAGAGATAATCCACTGGGGAAGTACATCACCAAGACTAGGTTGGCCGTCTACCACCCAGGTGTACACACTTTCCGGCATTCAGCCCGACCTGATTGGACTTCAACGCTGGACCTGCTACTAACCAGGGATCTGCACACCATCACGGATTGCCAAGCGCTCCCGTATGGACCGTCTGATCACCGGCCTGTGCTCTACACAATCGAGGGCACACCCGCCACACCACCGGCGAGTAAATACTTACTCCATAAGGCCGACTGGAAAAGATACAGGTCCTGCGTTGAAGCCAGTTTGCCGGCTGTAACACCGTGCAGGACAGCGGAAGAGGTTAACGAGGCGGTGGATGTCATCACCACCACTGTCCAGGATTCAGCCAACCAGAACATTCCTAAGTTTGCCCCGCAGCCCAACACAATAAGGAGACCGCCACGTCACATCCTAATCCTGATCAGCCAAAGGAACAATCTGAGGAACATCTTCCAGCGTACGTGTGACTACAGCTTGAAACCGGCCATCAATGCGATGACCCGGCAGATAGCTCATGCGTGACTGGAAAACCTCACTCTGGCATGATCAACTCCGGAGGACTCATGATGACCATCGCCAGTTCTGGAGACTGATCAGGACATTCGTGAACAAGAAGAGAACTGTCCACCTTACATCGGGGAATGAGCTGCTCACAGCTAAGGAACAGGCTGAACTCCTGGCCAAAAACTACGAAGCGAGGGATGCTGAGAGGACTAGAAATGCACCACCAATACCGGAGGGACCGCTGCCCAGTCCTAACGATGAACCTGTCTTCGCAACCTTCAACCAGCTAGAGTCGATACTACGGCGCACCAAAGGAAACAAATCGTCTGGAAGGGTAAAGCCTTCCTACTGAACATCTTTAACTCATGCCTCCGAATCTCATACTTTCCCAACGCATGGAAACAAGCGATCGTAGTACCGCTACTCAAGCCGGCGAAGAAAGGGGACTTAGCAGAGCACTATCGTCCGATCAGCCTCCTCTCGCACATCAGCAAGATTTTTGAGAGGCTAATTCATCACCACCTAATGAAGCACTGCTGGAAGAATGAAGTCATACCACCAGAGCAGACTGGTTTTCAGAGAGGGGTCTCGTGTGAACATCATTTAGCGAAACTCCAGGCCCATACATTAGACGAGATGAGTCTCAACAGAGCTACGGCGCTAATCTCCTTAGACTGCAGCCAGGCCTTTGACTGCGTGTCCCACACGCATCTACTCCGCCGCCTGGAAGAGTTCAGGTTTCCTGCCACTCTATGCCGAATGATCCGAAGCTACCTCAGCGGAAGATCTCTCGTCGTACGAGTTGGCACAGACTGCTCAGACACAGTCGATACCACCTGTGGAGTACCTCAAGGGTCTGTGCTAGGGCCAATACTGTTCGTCGTCTTCACGGTACCAGTAGTGGCACTCAAGCATACAGGAGCGATGGTAGCAGCGTACGCCGACGACATCGGCATCTACGCATCCAGCCTCAATGCGAAGACGGCGCTCACTCGGGCACAGAAAGCTTCAGCCACCGTCATAGAAGAACTAGAAGCAATCGGTATCAGAGTGAACCCCAAGAAGACTGATGCCATTGTCATGTCGTTCCAGAAGGGAAAGAAGCCATTGCCCAACAACTTCACCGTCGGAGAAGTTGACCAGAAAATCTCCACTTCAATCGTTTACCTCGGCGTCACATTGGATAGGCATCTAACCTTTTCCAGTCACGTCAGGCAGAGGATCAAGCTGGCACGGCAAAAATCCCATCGCCTCTACCATCTCCTGAATTCGCCGCAGCTCTCACTGAGACTAAAACTGCAAATCTATAAGGCCATTATAAGACCTACGATGCTTCACGGGGCCCCTCTCCTGCGCTACCTATACAACTCAACACTCAAGAGACTACAGGGCTTCCAGAGTTCTATCCTTCGACGAATTGTCCGGGGCACCACCCTGCAAAGGGCTAAGAATAAAAGTATACGAGAGGAGCTCCAGCTGAGTTCATAAGCCGGAGGCACATCAAATTCTTTGATGGGCTGAAGGCCTGTGCCAACCCACTATTTAATGTCATTTCACCACCAACCAGACCAGGAAGGTGGCAGGGTAAACTCCCTTTGGTGGACATATTCGCCGAAGGATGTGGTCCGGACCCTTGAGTCCAAATGTATATATTGTAAATATTTGTATTGTATATATTTGTAAATAAATAAAATAAACCTGCTGAGCTGTCCCTCCCTGCTCAATATTAAAATTAAGGCCACTGGCCACAAGTGTATAAAGTGCCTTCAGCACACTTAGCCAAATTACACCTTAAAATACCTTCGGGTAAAAAAAGGTAAGCATACTCTGAGAGTATATGTATACTTCTGTGTATACATATACAGTAAATTGTATGGTTTCCTTATGGAGGGTAAGAAAAAAAGAAAAAGAAAAAAAAAAAAAAAAAAAAAAAAAAAAAAAAAAAAAAAAAGCGCCTCACATAGTTCTGTAAGATGGCCCGTACCAAGCAGACCGCTAGGAAATCGACAGGAGGCAAAGCTCCGAGGAAGCAGCTGGCAACCAAAGCCGCCAGGAAGAGTGCTCCGGCCACCGGGGGTGTGAAGAAGCCTCACAGGTATAGGCCCGGTACAGTCGCTCTCAGACAAATCAGGAGGTACCAGAAGAGTACCGACCTGCTCATCAGGAAACTCCCGTTCCAGAGGTTGGTGAGGGAGATCGCCCAGGACTTCAAGACCGACCTGAGGTTCCAGAGCTCGGCCGTCCTGGCCCTCCAGGAGGCCAGCGAAGCCTATCTCGTAGGTCTCTTCGAGGATACCAACTTGTGCGCCCTCCAGGCCAAGAGGGTGACTATTATGCCTAAGGATATCCAGCTGGCTCGCCGTATCCGCGGAGAACGAGCCTAAGGGCTCTCCGCACCCTGCCGTGCTTTCAACGGCCCTTTTCAGGGCCACCAAATGTGCACTAATCCCTTTCTGACAAAAAAATCTATGGAATTAGAGACTCTACTTCGGTCTAATCCGTATTCGAATATATTTTATCCAACTTCTTTAGTCTCATGAATACAAAGACGAAAAAATAAATCATCTAAATAACCTACAAAATAATATAAGAGTGCAACAAGAAACATTAGTAACTGTTGGGGCCAGAGGTATTTCAAAATCGAAGCACAAATCTGTCCCCGGTGCGTTTTCTCAATGGTGGGGAAAATTCAAGTAAAATTAAAAATTTTGGGAAAAAACAGTGAATAAAAATGAGACCTGTAAAACGTGAAAAATGCATGCACAAGAAAATAATATTAAATAAAAATATTCAAAAAATGGAAAATGAAAAAGCACCTTCTAAATGCTTACATTTATTGAGATAAACGATAAAGAAACAAATGAGAAGAACAAAAACTATTCAAATGCAGTGAAATAAAATAAAACTTAAATATAATATTTAGTGAAAAATAAAAAAATTGTCCATCAAAAATAAAACATAAATAAAAAACTTCTATAATAATGATTAAATTAACAGAGAAAAAAAAAATCTTCAAGAAAACAAAATCAAATTTTGAGAATAAAATTAATCAAAAGGAAAAGAATTAACTTGAGAGTTCATTAATATTTAAATAATAATTTAGAGAGAAAACCCAAATTAATATTTAAATGCCCCATGGAGATGGTGAGAATAAAAAAGGTTCCAAGCTGGAGAATCTTCATCCAATGACTTTTACCTTGTACGATGTCAAGTCGATGGTGGGGTTAGCCTATCGTTCGATCGACGACTGCAGCGGGGCCAAACAGCTGATGTTCGAAAATGGCGCTAGACTGTTGAGTTAAGGTTAAGTGAGTCTGGACTGTTAGGGGTAGACGTCCACTACACGTCTAATGTCAATAAAGGTTACTTCCAGACTGGCTTTGGCCGTATTTTGATGTCTTAATCCCCAAAACAGAGCATTACTGCCGGACTGGTGTGTATACAACGCGACAATATATCGCAAAATAAGCCTAAATCTATAAACAGTGTAGGATAATATCCCTCGGCCTATTACAAAAAAAAAAAATAATAAACATTTATTCAATTATTAACATCTTAAAAGACATCTTAAATTATCGAAAAACGGGATGTTGGAAAGTAGTCCGAAGTCAGTCCACCACGTCCCCTGGAGGGGAATTAGAGCGCTTAACGGTAGTTACGGTAGCCGCCGCAAGATTGTGCTGCCCACTTCACGGCCATTTGTCCGCACGGCTAAACACGAATATATATAGCAACAATAAAAATATATCTGCACACTTCTTTCCTCACTTCAGCAGCAGCAGCAGAAGGAGAAGGACCTCCTCATCACCACTAGTGCCTGCCAGTTACTCCTCACTCTCGATCTTCTTACTAAGTCCAGCGCCTTAAGCTGTTGAGGGCCACACTTATCCCGTGGAACTCAACCTCGACAGCCAATCGGGCAGCATTATACTTGTAAGAAGGTAGCTGCTCTACAGCCTACAAGATGAACCCTGAGCATGTTGACCTACCATCGACGGATGAAGATGTTATCAACATGGACTTAGGAAATGAAGACCCACGGGCTGAGAAGAAGAGGCCACATAGTGATTCCGAAGGGTTTGTGCAGCCTCCACCCAACAAAGTACTCAAACCTAGGAGGAAAGTAGACAATGGCGCAGCATCTACTTCGGTTTCTAACCGGTTTCAGGTGCTAGCAACTAATGAAGACCGACGTCCACCACCTATCATCGTAAAACCGGCCATATCACAGCCATCTGTCAAGAGGATGATGGCAATGATAAAGGTCAGAGAATATTTTATTAACAATTCAGTGAAAGAGACCAGGTTATACGTAAGCAACGAACAAGACCACACCAAAGTGACAGAAATGTTGCTTCAAGACAAAGAAGTAGAGTTCCACACATTTGCTCCGAGAGGGACAAAAAGATCGAAGAAATTTGTCATCCACGGATTCGACCTGGACTCTGACATGGAAACCATAACTGATGCACTGAAGCGTCGGCTCCCCGGCTTTAAGATGGCCAGACGCATGAAGAGGACCAATAAGGCCGGGAAAACTTATGAAACGGAGGAAATCCAGCTCATAACTGAACACACAGTCAAACTGGAAGATATCCAGAGACTCGAAGCTATCGACTACGTACGCTTCAGAGTAAGGGTGTACAAAGAAACGAAGGCCCCAGTACAGTGCAGGAACTGCCAGGAGTTCGGCCACACAATGCAATATTGTGGCCGAACCTGCCACTGTGCCTGGTGTGGAGAACAACATTTAAACACAGAGTGCCCTAAGAGAGCTCCGGCTAAATGCTGGAACTGCAGCGGTAACCACCCAGCATTCTCAAAAGAATGTCCCTCCCGACAGAAACTTATAGAAACAAGAAAGAAACAGGGCTCAGTCACCAGCACAATGAGGAATCCGGCCAAACCAGTCCGTAAGGACCTATCATACTCTAATGTCATTGGCGGAACAAGCAACGAATCACAGCAGCCCACTGCCTCCCACCACCAGACACAAAATAGCCCGACCCCAGCGATCACCAGCACACTTGAAACCCAGCCACCTAGGACAACAGAATCAACTCTAGTAACCCTCGTTGAGAAGATGTTGGACAGGATGGACACGATGTTAAATTTTATAACAACTCTCCTTCAAACCGTGATGCCCATCAAGAAAAATGACTAAACACCTCGTAGTCAACCTGAACATCAGAGGCCTCCTATCAAAGTCGGCCGAACTAGAGCTTCTCCTACAGCAGCACAGACCATCGGTTGTGGCACTGACTGACACAATGTTGCCCGCATCGTCTCGAGTATTTTTCCAGGGGTATACTGTGTACCGGGAGGTGTGCTCCCCTGGGAGAGCTGAGGGCGTCGCTATACTGGTCAGAAGAGATGTACCTTCAAAAACCATCAGTAACCCAGTGGAACCTACCGAGGGAACTCACATAGTCACAGTGGACGTACGATTTAAAAATCGCTATACGTTAACCTGTGTTTATAGGAGACCGAGGGCAAATCTCACATCTGTGAAGCTCCTGCTACAACACGCCCAGGCGAGGAGTCGGCACGTAGTCATTGGTGACTTTAATGCTCGACACTCTTCCTGGCTCTGTGGTAGCGACAATCCCCTGGGGAGGTACATCACTAAGACCAGCCTGGCCGTCTTTCACCCAGGTGTGCACACTTTTCGACACGCAGCCCGCCCTGATTGGACCTCAACGTTAGACCTCCTGTTAACCAGAGAACAGCACACCATTACGGACTGCCACGCACTACCGTATGGTCCCTCTGATCACCGGCCTGTGCTCTACACTTTCGAGGGCATGCCAGCCACACCGACGGCGAGCAAGTATCTACTAAACAAGGCAAACTGGAAAGAATACAGATCTTGCGTTGAGAACACAGTACCAGCTATTACACCGTGCAGGACTCGAGATGAGGTGGATAGTGCTGTGAAAGTCATCACCACAACCATCCAGGATTCAGCCAATCGTAATATCCCCAGGTTCACCCCACAGCCCAACTCCATCAGAAGACCACCGCGGCACATTCTTGCGCTGATAAGCCAACGGAACAACATCAGAAACATCTTCCAGCGCACCCGCGATTATAGTCTGAAGCCGGCCATCAATGCGATGACCCGGCAGATAGCTAGCCTCATGCGTGACTGGAAAACTTCTCTCTGGCATGATCAGCTACGGAGGACACACGATGATCACCGCCAGTTCTGGAGACTCATCAGGACTTTCGTCAGCAAGAAGAGAAGTGTGCATCTGACAGAAGGTGACGCGCTGCTAACACCCGGGGAACAGGCTGAATTACTGGCGAAAAGCTATGCAGCGGGTGATGCTGAGCGGACGAGAAGTGCCCCTCCTGTACAGGATGGACTATATTCCAGCCTCACCGAGAAGCCCGTTTTCTCCAGTATTAACCAGCTTGAGTCGGTACTACGGCGCACTAAGGGAAACAAGGCGTCAGGACAGGACGAGATACCGTATGTGCTACTGAAGATGCTCCCAAGGAAGGGTAAAGCCTTCCTCCTGAACATCTTCAACTCATGCCTGCGAATCTCGTACTTTCCCACAGCCTGGAAACAAGCAATCGTAGTACCGCTACTAAAGCCGGGGAAGAAAGGAGACGCGGCTGAGCACTATCGTCCAATTAGCCTCCTCTCGCACATCAGCAAGGTCTTCGAGCGCTTGATTCACCACCATCTCATAAAACACTGTAGAGAGAAGAACGTTATACCACCAGAGCAGACAGGTTACCAACGAGGTGTCGCCTGCGAACATCACCTGGCGAAACTGCAGGCACACACCATAGAGCAGATGAATCACAACAGAGCTACGGCACTCATCTCACTGGACTGCAGCCAGGCCTTTGACTGCGTGTCTCACGCGCTGTTACTCCGACGGCTGGAAGAGTACAAGTTCCCAGCCCCTCTATGCCGACTGATCAGAAGCTATCTTAGCGGAAGATCTCTCGTCGTACGAGTTGGTGACGACTACTCTAACCCAGTCGATACCACCTGTGGAGTACCTCAAGGGTCTGTGTTGGGACCAATACTGTTCGTCGTTTTTACGGCGCCATTAGTGGCACTCAAGCACCCAAACGCAGTGGTAGCAGCCTATGCTGACGATATCGGGATCTATGCATCGAGCACTAATGCAAAGAGAGCCCTCAAGCATGCAGAAAAAGCCACAGAAGTCATCGTCGGAGAGCTAGAGAAAAATGGCATCAGAGTAAACCCGATGAAGACTGACGCTATCGCGATGTCGTTCCAGCAAGGGAAAAAGCCACTACCCACTCACTTCACCATCGGTAGTGTTTATCAGCGGATCTCCACCTCAGTAGTCTATCTCGAGGATACCAACTTGTGCGCCCTCCAGGCCAAGAGGGTGAC